AAAATTATATTAAATTAACCCCTTGCCCCAGGATTTATTTTTCATCTGTGAGAGATACAACTTTGTCAGTGACAATTTATTAGGAGGACCATTCTATGGATTTTCTATATCTACGTTTGCTCTACGGTATAATAATTAACCCCTTTGCACTCGAAAATATTTTTCATTACAAGCATTCATTATTTTCTGACGAAATGTTAACAATATTATTTGCAACTTACATGAAGAAACATCATGCATAAATTATGGGACAGAGTTGTTTTTTTTCTGTTTCATTTGTTAATACCTGATTCAACATTTATATTGAATTTTTCAGTTTACAATTTTGTTGCGTTCAATCAAATGGCGACTGAGAGTCGCCCCTCGAGTGCAAAGGGTTAATAACGGAAGAATAATATTTCATTTGAATTCAAGGGAACTGAGTAATGTTTATGTTTGTTAGATCCTATTTAAATTGTTCAACACGAGTCTCACACGTTATTGTAAGGCAAGGGGTTCAGATCGTTTCTACGAGTGCAATGGAATCCATAGTGTGGCTGGAAAGAGAATTTATTCGAAAATACTAAGATTTATCTTTTTAAAGGTGGACCGGTGTTTGTCGATGCATTAAATTTTAATGAAATCGGAATACAATAGTTCTGACTCTACCCTTATTGGTTCCTCTTCCGGACTCTCTCAATCTTCATACATTAACCCCTAAGGACCAACGCCCATAGGCTATATCGGCCCACGAACTCTGGCTGGCGATCAATATTGAACATTGCACGTTAATGTGTTTGGATAATTCACGAATAAAGTTTACACGCTTACTTGCTCCTCGCTTAGCGAAATTAATTTCCGAAATATCGCACGGACATCGGGCGAATAGAAAAACTGTTAGTCGAACGTTTTCTATGCCCGTTTAGAAACGAGAAGTAGGATACGGTAAACGTGAACTTGCGTGTAAGTGTACACGTGCGTACTCACGCAAAGAAAGCAAAGGGAAATGGATGACTTATCGTTGGAGCTATGCGTCATACTGACTTCTGCCCTAGTGCTAACGCCCCAAGGGTAGGGTCAAACGAAACAATTCAGAAACCATTTTAATCCTAGCGTGCAGTGACTATAATGCAATGTAATAAGCAGATCGCGGACGTTCAAATATATTTGCGTTTCCATAAAGAAATGTCGAACACTTGGAGTTAAACAACGTTCCTGTTACATAAATTTTGCAGTAATATAAACGTTGTTACATAAATGAAGACATGTCTAGCAGACGAGAATGAGTGCACGTTTTACCATAATATTATTTAGCACTCGCTACGAAAATCAAAATGCTAATTAGTCGAAGTGATTAACTATTAAAAATAGTTCTAACAAACAAGTTTTCCATCCATTGTAAATAGAAGATTATTGCGAAGATAAAACCGTTAAGAATAGCAAAATTTTTCCCCTTCTATCTATGTATGAAAAACAAAATGGACTTTCATTAGCCCTTTGCGTTCGAGAAGTGACTCTCAGTCACCGCTAGATTTGATATAGCAAAATTATCATCTTACATATAATATTATACTCTGTACGATGTATCCATGTGAAATATTCGAATAAAATAGCTGTGTCTCTTAACCCTTTGTAGGCCCATGTAACTTTGAAGTCACATATCAATATATTGGCATCCTGTTAATTTATTTCAGTTTTCACGGCAAAGTGGTGAATAAAATTAAGTAATCAGTTGACTTGAACTTTTGTACGCCCATGCGTGAAAGTTCAATGTCATTCTAATTTGAAGGATACAAAATATATTAATTTAATAAAATTATTCAAACTATTGAATACATTGTCAATTCGTCTTCATATGTGGATATTCATTAATTTCGTACTGCAGATGTTTTGTTATAATCATGAAACATAATTTGGCCCATAGAGGGTTAATTTATGTACGTCTTCTCATTTGCTAGTTTCAAAGAGTCTCGTTCGTTTATATCTCATCGAAAAAAACGTTGCATATCTCCGGGGAAGAACTTTCGAGTGCAAGGAGTTAAATGGTTCTAAAAATGTTTACCGCGAGTCCTGCTCGTTATTACAGGGCGAAGGGTTAAAAGGGCAAAATCTCCTTCGCCCAAAAACCGATTGATTTCGACCGTTCGAAGAACCGTACTCGAAATAATCGAGTAATCCCGGCGTGTATGCACGTATAATCTCGATCGGAGTCGAATACTCGGCCCGATTCGATAAAACGAGTTCCACGAGAGCAGTGGCCCATGTTTCCAACGTTCAAACGTTTCGACCGCCCGTGGCGACCTTCCGCACTCCTGTTTCCTTCGGCCGAGCCGCGCCGCGCGGCTCCTTGGCGCGTCTTCGAATCGGAACGTTTCTCCCGGTTTATCTTAATTCGCGCGATACATCATTAAGCCGGTGTGTGGGGCGATTCCAGTAAAATATATACTGAAAAAAGCCCCGGCATCAAAGGGTACCGCGGGGTAACGATAATTAGCGATACGGAACGCGTAATAAACGAAGCCGGCCGCTAATTTCAATTATTCAAGGCAGAAGGGTAAAAAGACTAAGGAAGAAAAAAAACTAACGAGGAACGAGAAGCGAAGGAAAAAGAGAGAGAGAGAGAGAGAGAAACGCGAGGAAAATAAAAGGCGAAAAAAAAGGAGAAGAAATCGAGAAGAAAAGAGTTAAAAAGACTCGGTAGGTGGATGAAAAGAGGAGAAAAAGGCGAATAATCGTATCTGCATAAAGAAACGGACGCACATCCGCGTATAATGATACCTGCCGTGTGGTAATTACGACCGTAATTCTTTCGTGGGGGCAAGCGTTAAAAACCGAGTCCACCGCGTGCCCGTTGCGCGTGTGTGTGCGCGCGCGTGCCAATGTATAGGAGAAATTAGAGTCGACGATACACGTGTACGCACGTTTGTAGTCGGAGGACACGCACGGTCGTGTGCGCGCGCGGGCGCGCACCTCTGTGGGCCAAGGAATAAAAAGAAAGAACAAAGAGAAGAGAGGAAACGGGTGGAGGAGCTGGTGGAGAGATAGAGAGGGATCCAAGAACCCCGAGGTTCCCTTTGCCTGATACCGAAGGAATAGAGAATGCCAGCGGATGCCTTTTATCTAACCACCGGACTAATGTATGTAACGAACTCGCAGGGTCTCGATAATTAAACTCCACCCTCGATTGTACGAGTGCACTCTTACCAACCAACGCGCTCGCGCTCGCTCGCTCGCTCGCTCGCGGTACGCGTGTACGCGTCGTGCGTCTCTCTGTATACGTATGTGTAAGAGGACCCACCGGGTATATGCCCACCGCTTTTGCGCCCTCTTGAATGAAAAAGCGAAAGGGGAGCGCGGGACAAACGGCTCCTTCTTTGTAAATCACCCCTTTCTGTTTGCCCGCTCGTAACTTTTATCATTTGCCGGCGCAACAGCTTTCCCCGGCATGAAAATTTGCCCCGGCCGGGCTGATGCACGAGAAAGCGCCCGTAAAGGGCGGAGAGAGATCGGCCGGCGGGATTTAAGCGGTGTATACGCGAGAGACTAGACGAGCGAGGATCGGTGAATGATTCGATGGATAAACCGCGTTGATGTACGCGCCGCGTTTTCACTAAAGCGACCCACCTCTGTCGGCTTTCCCTTTTTTCATTTTTTCCTCGTGGGGGGTTTTTCTTTTTTGTCGGTTGCGATTGATTTTTAGGTTCTGTGCGTTGACGCACGGTTTTTCTTAATTTTGATAATTGTTCTCGTTGATCTTGGAAAAATTGTTGGAGAACGTTTGGTTATAGGTGTTTTTGTTTTTTGAGATTTTTTGGTAGTGGGATGGGGGATGTTTGTATTCGTGGTTGCGCGTGAAATGTAAGGAAATTGGAGGATAATAATTGTTGATTGTGAACAGGATTGATTTTAATAAGGTTGTTGTAAAATATTGAGTACTACGGTATTGTATACGTGCGAAATTAAAATCGAAATTTCCTTTGTTTTTTGTTTGTAAACACTGTTTGAAAGAGGGACTATTTCGTCTTTCGAAAAATATATTTCTGAAGATACGTTTTGAATCGGAAGTTTTAAGTGACTAGAACGAAACCAAGGGAGCTTGACTGGAATCTAAAAATGAAATCAATTAAGATTTTTGGAATTTTTTAGTGCAGCTGACTCCGCGAGTGTGTTTTATTTTTACCCCTCCTTTCAGTCTTTGACGCACGGTACATTAATATACTTCCTCTTCCGAAATCAGTTCAGAACCATTGGAAATTATATATCTACCGAAATATAATTTGCTACAGAAAAACGTCAACCGTTAAGTTTCAAGAATACATGAACCATTTATTAAAGTGAATATTAACAACAAAAAGTTTCGAACACTCGAATACACTATAGTTCACGTACGTTCAAGTTGGACTACTTTCAAATTCGAAAACTAAATTCTTGAATTTCATTAGCTGGAACATAAACGTAAACTGTCCAGGAACGACAACATTAATTCGCACGCTCGAGTCTAGTACAATGGGAATAATTAAACACCGAAAATATCACTAAAACAAAGAGAAACCGAGATACATAAAAATCAATGTCACAACCACAAAACCAGTGACAGCTGGTTGCCGATAGATCAACCAGCAAGAAAAATGCAAGTGTGACGTAACACCACGTGGGATCCACTTCTGTCATACTGCAGGCAGCATCATCGAGAAGAGAACACGCACTGGTACAGCTCGTGACTTGGGCAAAATATCACGCCTATAACCGGATCGACCGGGCGATCCGTATACGGAATAACACGATCTATCGTACATCGTGATTTCGACGGGAACATCGATACCGCGTGTGTACGAGACGAAAAAAAATACAACGTAATAAAAAAGAGGGTGGGAGGTGGGAGGGAGCAGAAGAAAAATCGACTATACAAGAGAGGGAGAAGGAAGAGAGAAAACAGAGAGGAAAGAAGAGAACGAGAAAGAGTGGAACGTTGCGAGAGAAAGAGGGTAAGAGAAAAAGAGAGAGACATAATAGAAGCTTACCAGAAAAGGGTCTGTAGCCAGCGAGGAACCTTGCCCGCCACCACTTTACCAATCCGGTAGCCATGAGACCCTCATGCATCCACAAATGCTGCGCACACTTTTCTTCCAGACTTCTTGTTCCGCCACTTTTCTTTTTCTGTTGTTTTGAACCTCGCCGCCGACGTAGAAATTCTTCTCGCTGATCCTTTGCGCGCCGCGCGACAGGAGCGGCGTAACACTAACAGGATTCCGGCACAGCCTCCGTAGAAAATCCGCGCGGGTTCACCTGACTCCGATACATGTAAGTACGCGCCGTCCGTCGTACACGCGTTTCTACATTTGTATCAACGGCGCACGGTTACTAACGTGTAATAACCCTAATTCTAATACCGTGCGTGTTTCCACGGTTCACCGGTGGCTCACTGGAAAATCGAAAACAAACACACTCGCGTGGAACTTCATGCTCTCTCACAGCGGATCCTCGGCATCCAACTGACACGGTAACTCGCGGCGTGCGCCCGAGAAAGAGGGGAACAGTGGGGGGGAGGGAGACAGAAGAGACACGTACGGAGAGGACAAATAACACGTGTTTCAGGGCAAGCGCAGCCACGGCACAGGCGTTCCTGGCCTGGGGAGGCGACCAGTCTCTCTCTGGCTCCGGCACCGCGGCTTTGCCTTACTTTCTATCTTCCGTTTAATCGTTGTTTTCAGGAAGGGACGAAACGTGCGTCGTGGTGCGCTCGCATGCCCGCCCCCCGATATGCTCACCAAATTTAGCAACACGCACAAACGGAGCCGTGTGGCCGCGTAACGCGCACTCGCTCTTGGTTTAATCCAGGTAAAGGCTCCGGAGAAAGAAACGCGGCCGTGTCGTGAAGGGTCGGTCACACGGCATCGCTCGACTCGTGGCCCGTCTACGACTACGGACGATCGTTCTTGCCTAAACCACGTTCCCCGTAATTCCCTTTCCCCCTCCATAGGGCGCTGCGTCGTCACAGTGCCGAGTCGTGGATACACGGGCCCTGAAGGTAGGAGGCGCGGCTCGAAACCTCCGATTCACGCTGTCTCTCTGTCTCTCTTTCACCTCCCACCATTTTCCCCACTTTTTCGTCAGGCTGTCTCCGTCCCACCCAACGGATGCGTTCCCTTCTCTCCGGGTTTCTCTGTCTCTGTATGTCTTTCTTCCTTCCCTCTCTCTCTGCCTTTCGTTTTCTCTTTATCCCTGTCCAACGTTGTACGTTCTCTCGGTGTTCTCTCTTTCACCGTATCTCCCTCTGTTCTCCCTATAATTCTACCTCTCGCATTTCGCCTCGTTCCATCCTTCCGATTCTCTATCCGATCCTCCTTGTCCCATCGCGCTTCTTCCGCTCTCTCCCTCTTAACCGCGGACCACAGCTCTCCTCTCTTTTTTCCTCGCGTTCCTTTCTCCCTCGTGGTTACATTCTCTCTCTTTCTCTCTCTCTCTTTCTCTCTCGCTCTTTCTCTCTCGATCTCTGGTTCTCTCACTCTGGCTACGCCTCTCTTGCTCTTTTTCTCTCTGTCCCTTCGTAGTGTCCTTCTCCCTTTTGCCTTCGCGCCGGCCGTTCCGTGCCCGCGCAAACCACACGCGTATACTTTCCTTTTCTCTTACTCTTTTCTCCTTCGTTTTTGTCCAGCGAAGGTCTATGAGAACGCCGAAGAAGGACAGCTTCGCACGGCCTGGTGGGGTTTTGAAGGAAGCCGATGATGGTTCAACGTGGTCTACGACGACATTAAATGTCGTCGACGCTCCGCGACGCCGCGGACCGACGGCATGCGCGAAGAAGAAGGCGGCCGGGGGCTCCCCGAAGGATTTCGATTATCACGGGGGCCCCGGCCGACCGAACCAACACGGTCCGCGGCATTTTTGCGGAGACGCGCGCCAAGCCGCGGACGTTGCCCCGGATTCCCTGCCGGAGAAAGTCGGTTTTTAAGGATTCGGAAAAACGGGGTTTCTTCTGAAAGGACCAGACGCCGAATACCCGCCGAAACGCGGCTGGCTCGTTCAAATCGTCCACGGAATCCCGTAATTCGTCGGAATGATACACGGCCGGCTACCGTGCCCTCCATCCTCGGTCGAACTGAATGCCTGCAACGGCCGCGCGAAATTATCTTCGCATATTTATTTGACCCCCATTCGTTTTGCCGCCTTTCGAAAATTTTACTATTCCCTTACTGGGATTCTCGTGTCTACGAGAGGATCTTTACGGGATGATAGATTTTGAAAATGTTGAAAATTAGAACATTTTTACGGTGATTTTCACATTTAAAGGTCTTCGCGTTAAAGTCGTTCGATAGACGAAATTCGTGAAAAGATGACGTTTGAGGTTTTGAGTAACACGTGTCGAAATGTTGAATAATATATTGGTCCTAGTTGATTTAGTAAATTTTCTGCGGTGGAACGAACGATTGAACACAGTTTATTGGAGAGGTGTAAATATCGTAACCGGAACTGCTACTGTTGACGTCCGACGCTGCTGCCCGCGCGCGTGCTGTTATTGTCGCGCACCCGCTTAATACGTTTCCGGAGTTTATCAGAATTTTAAAGAGTGCCGCGCTTCCTAAACGCTCGACTATTTGTTTTTCTCCCTCGCTAGTCAAGGTTAAAGTACGCGATCGCGGTGGCGGTGGAATAAATGCGAGATACTCTTTTTGGAGACTGTACCCGCACGCTATTATCTCCTAGCGGTGTTTCAGAAGAAACATCGGCGTCGCCTTCGACGGAGCGATGAATGAACTTCAAAGAAAATCACTTTATCATGCGCACGCCTTACAAACAGCGTTCCACGCGCGACAAGCCGGATCCAAAATTTCATTCTCACGCATATCTAAGATGAGATTTCCCATTTCCCAAGTAAAAATAGCTCGTCCCGATTTCCTCTGAACGAAAAAACTCTACGTCGCCGAAAGAGTGAGACAAACGTCCCGTTCGAACATAATCTCATTAATCCCAAGCAATCAAACGCTATTATCCGCGTCGAAGTGAAAGCTCCCGGTATTTAATTACAAAAGTCGCCGTAGATAAAGGAAAGTAAAAGTAGACGGTACCATGGGCTATCACAATAATTTCTTGGTTATTACGCGCATAGGCGTACCGTCGAGGTACAGTAACCGCAAACACCAGAAAGAAATACGGTTCGCATCGGTTCACCCGGGTGTCTACGCCACTGGCTCCCGGCAAGTACCCCCTTTGCTCTCCCTGTACGGAAAGTCTCTGCCCACCATGCCACGCTACGCCGTGCTGTGCTGCGCCGCGCTATGCTGTGCTACGGTTTGCCGTGCCATCCTCAACCGCGTAGCGTGGCTAGTTGTTTCTTTTCTTTATTCCTTTGTCGGAAAGTCGGTGGCGAGTCTCGTTTTTAAGAGAAGAGTAGAGGGGAGGAGGCAAAAGGAAAACGACGGCCGCTCAGCAGGGGCTGAGGAAGGAACGGTCGGGTCCCGGGGACCCTCGGGAACGCTGCCGAACGGGGTGAGGAGGCGGAGAGGTGAAGCGAACCAGCGGCGGAGGGGGACGAGGGGAGGGCCACGCAGCAAAGAGAATAAAACGTGCCGTTCAAAAACTCAGTACAGACTAACCTCGAAATAAAGCCGGCCAACGCGCCTCGGGAAACCACGAGGCACGTCTATTAATAATAAACTGTTTTCAGTTAAGTCCTCCTATCGTCTGGAGAGTGGCCGATCGGTCCTCCTCGCGGACGCGATGGAAGACCGCGGCCTCTTACGCCCGATCCCCTGCGCGAAACCGTCTACAACGCCTTCCGCTCGCCGCCGGTTCGGTTTGTGTTGTTATGTAATATTACGCGTGAATAGCGCGCGTACCCCGCCACCAAGCCACGCAACGCTCCTCTCGGCTATAAAGAAAATTGCCCTATCGGGCCTCCGCAATAAAAATGCATATGCTCCTTGGTAGCACCGTCTTCGGTTGTAATTTCGATTCGATCGGAACGGGGAAATTCATTGATCCCGCGATGAAAATGTTTTTAACGAGCGCCTATGGTTCGAGCGTGTCTTTTGTCGGATAACCGAATAAGTTTGTCCATAGTAACGCGAACGTTTGAAGTTTGTCTATTGAAGCATACGTTTAGGTGTTAGGTGAAGGAGAACAGTAATCTATTATCCAATGCTCGAATCTTTATTTAAGTTGAAATCCGCCAGTTAGTCGATTCGGCTTAACTACTTTATGAATACGTTTCGCGAGTGTTGGTCGATGATCGAGGGGTTGGTGTCGCAAGCAGCGACTTCTCGGGGTGACTATTAGTTATCTTAATGACTAATGTTAAGAGATTAGAAACGGCGACACGTGGAGAAGTTGAGTCAGAATAAGCGTACAGTTACCCAACGGCTTTCGTGTAAATCTTGTTTACTGTTAGGAAATTAGTGATTTTGTTAGGTGGGGATGTATTTTCTCGTAGCAATTCGAATTAAGGATACGAATTGAATATTAATAATGTCAGTTCACTACATAAATCTTCGGTCATTTCCTCGTGTAACTGTAAACATATAAGCTTCACGATAGCCCTTTGAAATGTAAAACGTTCATTAGTACATAAGTAAGTTGATAGGCATAAGGAGTTAATTTCGAGAAATGGTCCGATTGCTTTAAAACATAGAAAAGTGATTGTTATGTGCACGTATATTCATATTCCTCTACTATTGTGCAATGCAATCGTGAATAAACAGTATAAATGTTATTTCCCTGAGATCTACGCCGCTACCATCATCTTACGATATCTCAATTTCTCGCTATCAAACAACGCTCCAACTTGGGCGTAACTTCGACCCTGAAACGTCAAACTACTAGCGATAGTGATCATAACACAAACCAACGTGTTCGCGATGTTTGCTATGCAGTTTACGGTATCTGTTGTTCACATTGTTATCGGTGCAGTAGTCGTCGGCGTGCAACTAACAATATCAGCATATTTCCTTTATCAGTAAATACATGCATGTTATTTCAGTAATCGCTTTCGCAAAATATCGTTCATCAAGGCCGGTATTGAACATTTTGCCTATGCAGGTTATCACATTAAACATCAAACTTCCCGAAGCTTATCATACATTTTTTATTAAATTATCTAGATGTTCCTATACGAACTTCTAGGAATAGGACTCCCTTTCCTCTTTAATGAACTTAATGCTAGGATCATTTTCAAGAGCTCTATTTCTCCTGTGCTACGAAAGATTGACGATAACACGACTTATTACTGGACACTAGGGTACACTCTTACATCTCATCTATAGCGGTACCAAATTTTATTACAAGTTCCTACATATATTCATTCCACACGTTCGAAGTGTTGCACAGATATTATCTACTTCTAACTAAAGTAACACGTAATTATCTATCACTTACACCGAACCACAGAATCGAAGTTTGCGTAACGTTTCGTCCATTATCATTATCAGAAGATTCTATCTCCTTCGCAGCGGAACGCAGAAGCTAAAATTAAAAATGGCACTTCGGTTTAATCACGTTCCCTTAAAATTTCGCCTTTATCGTTGAAAATCTCGGAAACGGTCGTTTGCGTCTTCCCCCGGGCCATCAGAAGAAAAACAGGAAGGGAGGAGTGGAAGCAGAAACAGAGAGCTCGATTAAGAGGGAGAGAGAGGAGGAGGAAATAAGAGAGGGTAGAGGGTCCACGACCGGATCTTATAATTACGCTAATTAGGCAGTAACGCGTAAAAAGAGCGGCGCGAGTATTTATCGCGAGGTACCGTCGAAGGTACGAAGGTCGGCAAAGGAGGACGTCGCACGACAGGATGCGACAAGAAAGGCTATAATACAGTTTTGCCGCGAGCAGCAGAAGCAACATAGCGGCAACGGCATTGCACAGGCAAGAGGTGAAAGCAACGTCGGGAATAAGACGATTTCGACGTTGATTTCGTTGTGCTACCCCCGTGATCGATCAACATCTAAATCGCAGGCAAAATTTCAGAATGTCACACACGACCTCCCCTATCATAAATTACCCGGGGTCTATCTTTCCCCAGAAACATCGCTATCTACATCAGTTTCGACTATCATCAAACGGGAACACCGATGCTGTTCCGCCACCGAACATCTCGGTTCACAAACTTCTTGTTTGGCAATGATTCCCAAACATCCTTAGATCGAGCCTACGCTCGAAAGCCTGCGCCAGGTTGCGCACACCGTGGAACATTTCTAAACACGTACGTATCTAAATACAATATGTATACACTAGCGGAACGCTCGAGGTGTTCCGTTCGCCCCCATGAAATTAGCTTATCCGTTTAGACGCGTCGCGTTCGGCTACGGCTGTTCGCCTCTCCGCGGCGAGGCCGCAGCCGCTGGGGCCTCGAGCCGGGCGGACGCGTCCGTTCTCGTCCGTGTCCAGGCGGAACGATCGTTATCAGGCGTTTTCTGTTCCATTTTTCCGCGACGATCGGCCGCGCGAAACCGAGTACAGTACCCGGGAATTGAAACGCGTGCGTGCGTGCGTGCGTGCGTGCGTGCGTGTAC